CACGCTGCGGCTGGAGCGCCTGCAGCACAACGACACCGGGTTCTACCGCTGCGAGGTGACGCAGGGGCTGGAGGACGCCACGCCCTCGCCCAGGTCAAGGTCAAAGGTGAGGGGGACACTAGGAAAAAATATAAAATTCATAAATATAAAAAAAGTGAAATACAAAAAGTAAAGAAATATATACAAGCAAAATGTGTTGCCATGATTACAATGTTGTATACAGTGGTGCAGTACAGGTTTTAAAGGTCTCCTATTATGCTATTTTTAGGCATATACAGTATTGGTTTATTTCCTTCTTCTTGACACACACTCTCTCCAGTACAGGCTAGCTCTGAGTGTTAGCAATCCTTCTAATGCAAACACAGACCATATTACGTCCAGTAAAAGTCTTTTTTACCCCCGTATTTAGAGATGTGGGTACGAAGGAAAAGAGAGAGGCTAGGAGATAGGAGACCTTTAAAGTAAAAGGCTATGGATTGGCTGTAACGGAACTACAACAATATGTTATCTTGTCCTGTTGAACAAAAGACTGGAGATGATTAAAATATGTTTGTATTGAACTTTAACACAAAACCCAGATTTATAAAATTGCTGCTTTTCTTCTCCCAGGTGTGGTGTTCCTCTATCGTGACGCCTCCAGTAGGTACGCCTTCACCTTTGAGCAAGCAAGAGACGCCTGCGCAGAGATCGGGGCGGAGATGGCGTCTCCGGAGCAGCTGGAGGCCGCGTACCACAGCGGATACGAGCAGTGTGACGCCGGCTGGCTCTCCGACCGCTCCGTGAGGTGAGAGAAGAAGTGTCAAATCATCATATAATCATTTAAAGGGGACCTATCATGCAAAATGCACTTTTTGATGTGTTTCATACATAAACATGTGTCCCCGGTGTGTCGGGGAACTCACGCAGCGTCAGAAAATAAAACCCTCTCTCTTTTCCTCCGTACCCATATCTCTAAAAACGGGGGAACAACGGAGCTGATCCAGATTTGCGTCCGATATGACGTAATATCTGAAATGTGGACCCACGGCCCGATCAGAAACGTTGCTATCAGAAACAATGCAGACATGTTTGGACGTAATATGGTCTTTGTTTACATTAGCATGGCTAACACTCAGAGCTAACCTGTACTGGGGAGCATGTGTGTGAAGAAGCAGGAAATAAAAAGGAACTCACCTTGTGGTATAACCGGCAAGAGAGAAAGCCTTTGAGCTCCATACTGTTTCAGAGATAATCCTTGATGTGGTTTGGAACATCATATGGCGTTTAATCACGGGAGCATTTAGCTGAGTTTCTGCTGGTAGAATTCTCCCGTATGAGCTCCCCCTCCTCTTTTTATTTTATTATTATATATATGTTTTAAAGCTTTATACCCAGAATCAGCACTTTAGTAACAGGGTCAGAAATAGAGGGGTTTGGGGCTAGAATGGGTGATCTGTTTGGTATTTTGAGCAAAACACTTCATAGATATGTTTTTTGTATATTTGTATATATCTGAGACCTATAATATATGCCTAAAGATAGCATGATAGGAGATCTTTGAGTCCAGTTGTCCAAGAGAAGCTTTGCAGCAGAGAGTCATCTTCCAGCCAATGATGTTAGGACACATCGCACTACAGTACACCGGATCAGAGGGAAACTCAGCATGTTGTGATCATCAGGGAAAGAAATAGCTTTTTGAACATTAAAGCATGAGACATGTCACAGTAGAGACACTAGATACTGATATGAACGTGAAAATGATCAGAAAAAGGCCCATTTAGAGCAACATTTAATGCAATAATGTTGGAGACATACCGTATGAGTTGTGAATTTGCATTAATTGATATTTTCCGCGCAGGTATCCGATCCAGATGCCCAGAGAGGGATGCTTCGGGGACATGGATGGATTACCGGGAGTGAGGAATTATGGGATGTTAGAGCCCGACGAGCTGTACGACGTCTACTGCTACGTGGAGAATATCGATGGTAACTACAAATAACTAACTCACAACATTCAGTGATCACCAATCGTGGAAAAACTTTGATATTTAGAGGGAAAGTAAAGATCAATCAAATGCTTTATAATGTGTTTTTATTATGGTTTTATCATATTTTGCAGATTTTAGATCGATATGAACGTTGAATGAACGATAAAGAGTGTTAATCAAAACTTTTTGCCAGCAGTTTTAATTACTGGGATTAGTAGGCTACTGGAATGTTAAACTAATCCGAGTTTGACCCCTTTACACTCCTGTTCTGTGCTCTTTTGTTTTTGTTTTTCTTTGGTTTAGTTTCAATGAAATGCTAAAAAAAACCTACAGTGATAGTTTAGAAAGTAGGAGGCTTTTTCAACTGACGCAACGTCCCTCTGCTCTAAACCAGCTCCATAAAGAATGAATACTTTTTGGTGTAACAGACCATAAAACAAGAGAAGGGGGGTGCTAGTGACTTATTCGACCGGCCAACTTCAGTACCGGCCCATCGGGATTCGTCTCGAACGTCCCGATGGCCAGTCCGCCACTGGACCGTGCTGTAGTTCCTTTATAGCCCAACATTAGCTGCCTTTAGCTTAGCGGTGGTGACGTGAAGTCATGTGACCGTGCTGTAGTTCCTTTATAGCCCAACATTAGCCTCCTTTAGCTTAGCGGTGGTGACGTGAAGTCATGTGACCGTGCTGTAGTTCCTTTATAGCCAAACATTAGCCGCCTTTAGCTTAGCGATGGTGACGTGAAGTCATTAATCCGTGCCGTATATACATTTCGTTATCCGATGTGCCATTGAGCTATCTAAACTAAACTACAACAACCCCCTGACGTCTCTGAGATCTTGACACCTTTCTCCTTGTGTACAGGTGAGGTGTTCCATGACCCCACCCCCCAGCGCTTCACCTTCTGGCAGGCGAAGGCATTCTGCCTGAGTCACGGGGCGGAGCTGGTCACCACGGCTCAGCTCTACGCCGCCTGGAGCGACGGCTTGAACCTCTGCAGCCCGGGGTGGCTGGCGGACGGCAGCGTGCGATACCCCATCGTCACCCCTAGGGAGCGCTGTGGGGGGGGGGAGCCCGGGGTCAGGACCGTGTATCGCTACAGCAACCAGACCGGCTTCCCCGAGCCCCACACTCTGCACGATGTTTACTGCTTCAAACGTGAGAGACATGTTGAAGATTTAAAGCAATTCCTCCCACTTATCTTACAAAAAAAACTGGGTCCAAACTGACCGATTTACTACTTCCATGAATCATATATATAGTGTTTTAGGGTTTATCTGATTTCTTCAAAGCCTTATGATGTTCTCCATAATAGTCATTTGTACAAATTGAATTGCCGATCACCACTTTAATTTAATTTTGAGTGTTTGGTCAACTTTGTAACACCTACAGTATGGTGCCGGTCAAAAATGACCAACCATAGGAAATGAATGGGTAACCCTATATTATGTTTAAACATCAGAGAGTAAACACACACACACATTGACTAAATGTGGGAGTGTGTACTTTGTACATTTGTGCATTATCATTAGTGTACTATCATTTAGACACTGAATACATATTAAATCTTCTTTGTACATTCACTGCAGTTATTCGTGAAACCAGCAGTCTGAGAAATTGTTTACAGCTTAAAATGGTGTTAAATACAATTTGGTGATGATTCATGTTTTTTGTGTTAATGTAAGAGCAGTTAAATTCGACCGGTCGAAAACTTATTTTTCGTATAAAAACAGGCAGCTTGATGAAGTAAATGTGTTTGACTTTGTGTATCTATGGAACAAACCTGGGTGGATTTATTAGATTAATAGCAATTCATCTATTGCATCAATCAACAAAATATGCATTATTTAAAACTCCTCTTTGGTTAACAGCTGTTGAAGTCATTTTGATTACATTTCTGCTCTTTATTCCAGGAAATAACGGCCCTTACACGGACTCCCCTCTGGATTTCCTCTCCACTGAGCACGAGGACATCGGCCAGGACGTCGTGTTCTTCACCGACCCTTCAGAGGAGGAGGGGTTCAGCAACAGCGAGGCGACGGAAAAGAGCAACGAAGAAATCTTCCACGCCCAAACGGACAATCCTCTCAAACACATTCCTGTGCAGCAGACTACACTCGGATACAACCAGGAAGCACCCAGTTCTCTGTCTGTCACTCAAACATCTGAGCATCCAGACTCCACAGGGGAGGAGAGAGAGAAGGAGAGCTTCCCGGAGGCATATCATCCGGCACCTGATGAGGAAAACACTGAAGAGTCTCCAGCAGCTTCTCCACAAAGTGTTGATGGAGCCTCCACTTTACCCACAACACCTGAAGAGCCCTCAGAGCATCCTTTTACTGTCACCGAAACAACTGATGCTTTAAATGCAACATCTGTATCTCATATTTCTGTCACCGAAACAACTCCAGCTGTAAATGCAACATCTGTATCTCATATTTCTATCACCGAAACAACTGATGCTTTAAATGCAACATCTGCATCTCACATTTCTATCACCGAAACAACTGATGCTTTAAATGCAACATCTGCATCTCACATTTCTATCACCGAAACAACGGATGCTTTAAATGCAACATCTGTATCTCATATTTCTGTCACCGAAACAACTCCAGCTGTAAATGCAACATCTGTATCTCATATTTCTGTCTCCGA